AATCTAATGTACCATCTGATGTGTCTGTGATGTGAACTGCTAGGTCTGTTCTCCTCTCTGTGTTCTGTGACAGGCAGGGCAGGGATTCCTTGGTGGAGTTAGGAGAGGTAAAAGCAACAGCTTTTACAACTGTGATTCTGTAAAAGGATAGAATTGTTATTTCTGTTACAACCATTCTAGGAGCAGTCCTCACAGCAGAATCTGTCATTGACTTGTGCTGTACTCACATGCTAGAGAAAGATGGTCTTGCCCTTAGAGAGCTTACAAATACGAGTCGAGAAGCAATGGCTAGTATGGACAGCTGAGGGAATACAGTGAGGAGCAATGAGATGCTATTGATCAGCAGGATAGGCAGTACTCATAATACATCAGCAGCGTAACTGCTGTCAGGTTTTTGCAGGCATCATGGCTAAGGAGAATTTGAAGGAGGATAATGAGGAAGCTTTGCAAATGAAATCTCCAGGCTCCCACCACCTCTGCTCCAGAGCTGGACGGCAGCAGGATAATGGTTTGCCTCCCACTTCTGACTGCTGTTGTGTCCCCGCCTGCCACTGCCCACTCTCACTGAGGGCACAGTGGTGCTTGTGCAAACTTCCTTCTAGCCTGTATAGTGTCAGGATGGCAGGAGACGGAGCGAGGATAAGGCCTGGCCCTCTATCCCACATGCTGTGGGATCTCTTCCAGTGACAAGAAGTTAAGTTGATGAGTCTGTATGGAGACAGTGAAGTGACCCCCGTGCTGCTCCACATAATTAATAAATAAAGCACTGGGGGAGTTTTTGCCATGCTGGCTGCTATGACAGGGCTGTCTACGGTGCACTTAAGCATTAAATGACCAATTTCTGTCAGACTAACTTCCCAAGTCTCTCTCTCTCTCTCTCTCTCTCACTCTCTCACTCACAAAGCCAGCTTCCTCGCTCCCTGCACTTGGAGTTTTTCAGCAACTGATGGCTCCTGGTTCATTTCTGTAGAATTAATTGGTCCCTGAATGAATTCTGTTGACAGGGCAATTTATCATGTGTTTGGGTTGACAGTGTTGGATACCGGTAAAGGGGGGGAGTGGTGTCTGAGTGGGATGAGGGGAGATGGACAGGGTGGGGGTGGGTGGGAGGATGAAGAAGAGGAGGAGTAGAAGAAAGGGGAGGTAGAGGAGGAGATTGCTTAAAAAAATAAAATGAAGGAGAGAGGAAAAATTCTGTTCCTCTTTGGATCCCTCAGGTCCAACTCAGGGTGATGGTTAATGTGCAAGAGGGATGAGGAGAAGAAGTGGAGATGAAGGGAGTGACGCTTTTCTCATGATGGGAGTCAGGATGCTGGTTTTCCACAATTTGCACCATGGCTTGGGAGAAAAAAAAAAAAAGATAAGGAAAAAAAAACCCCAACCAAACAACCAAAAAGCCCCCAAAACAGTCAACAGTAAAAAGTAGTAGTTATGCGGTGTCTCTGGGGCTCAGTCAAAAGCCTTCATATGCAATGTCCACATCTACTTCTCCCTCATACTAAAGTGTGTGGGAAGCGAGGGACAAATCTGGCTAACCCTCAAAATGTTGATATGTGCCCCAAATACTGTTTCAGTAGGTACTGAGTGGCATCCAGCACCTCGCAATGTGTTGGTATCTGCCATTGTGTCTACTAGTCAAGGACAGCCAAGAAGGAATCCCATCTTATAAAACATCAGTGATTTGGGTTCCCAGTTCCCCTCAGTATGGGTCAGAAGGAGGTCTCTGGTCCCATATGTTTCTTTGATGATCTAACCTCATCAAAGACAACATTTCACATCATCCAAGATAGGGACAATGAGGGACTTCCCAAAATAATTACAAGTATATTGTAATTGCTTGTCATTAAAATGTCATGACTCTGGTGTATGGATTCAGTTTCTAGTGAGTGCAACCTAGGTGATCATTTTAGTCCCTCTGGCTTCACAGCTTTGGCATACAGAAGTGTGGGTATATGTGCGCATGCATATATGCTACACTATGGATAACATTAAAACCAACCAAAGCCAGAAAGAAACTCAGTTTGAATGAAAGTGTTTGAATAAAGATTAAATAAATTCTTAAATTGATGCCTTTTCTAGGAAACTTTGAGTGACCTAAAGAAGTGCACTAAAGACTTGATCAGAGGGAGGTATGTCTGTGAAATGTTGGTGGCATCCATGTGTAGAGGGTAGTCTCCATCAGTATCATTTTCACCTCTGTGTCCTCTCCCAGCCTTCCCTACACTGTGAGTGCGATATTCCGAAATACGCGATGCTGAGATCAGTGGAAGAGTTACTAGTAGGTTTCCTCCTTATCTCACTGGGAACAACATTATGTCAGGGCTCAGCACTCCTGAAATTACCATCCTGAGCCTTTAACTGCAGGCTAGCAGCAGGTGCCTTTGTTTCTCAGAGCCCTGTGGCTCAGTTTACCAGCATTCAGTCATCATCTTTGTCTTAGGACCGAAGGTTTCATCAATACAGTTGACAAAATGAGTGTCCATATTGTAAACAGTCTGGAGGCAGAACTGAATTTTAGTGGCAAAACCCACATTTGAGGTGGTGAAACACAAGTGGTGTGGTGGTAGATGGTTTTTCTCTTAGTTTGTTCAGTCAAATACAATGCAAAAGTAAATACAGTTCTCGTCAGGTAAAAAATTGTGCAACTGAGCATAGAGGAGACTGACTGCTTCTTTAGGGTTGTCTTTCTTGGTTTTACCCTGGGTTCGGTGAAATCTCTAGCCTGCATCCTACCTGAGAACATCTGAGCATCAGATCTTCTGGAGTGCTAAAATGGAGCAGGTAGGGTGAGGAGATGTAGGAAATAGGGAACTGGCATAATCAAACTGCAGAGGATTTGTGAGAGACTATTTTTTAGGGCCGCCAAGTTTACTGGTTTACTGCTAACTAGAAAGCCAGTTGAAGTTACTGCACTAAGAGGGAGTGTACAGGAAGAGACAACCAAGTAAAGCCATACTGGGTAGAGGGAAGATTTATTTTCATGCACTTTTATTTTCCTTCTTTTGATATGATCACTCCAAGGAAATGGTGGAAGCAGCTCCTTTTCAAGGCTTTTGTAACAGTTTTCCATTGTAGTTACTCAGGTATATAAAGCTGAGATTCATCTGTACTGCGGGGGTTCAAAACTAGAAGTATTCCCACTGGCGATGAGCAGATACAAGTAACAGTTGTGACTTGAGGTAGGGTGTTTAAGGAGGAAACAGGAGTGCTGCAATTTTTTTTTGTGGGATCCTAAAATGTAAGTTACTTGGGTGAGAGGACCTGGTCTTTGTTGTAGCTTAAGACAACAAAAGTTTTTTAAATTGTAGCTTAAACAATAAAATGTGTATAGGAACTGACATACACAAATTGCCAATGGTAGCAATAATAACTGAGCAGTGATTTTATTGCGTGCAAGTCATGCAAACAGAACTTACTCAGAAAACTTGAAAGAAGTGTGTGGTGCTTGGAAGGGACCAGCCTGAGCTGGGGGCATCTTTGGATGCTGGTTATGATCCCACATAACAGAAACATTGTTGATTGATAATGAGAAGGTGCTTACATAAGAGTTAAGTGTCTTTTTATAAAAAGAGGGCCTCCACACAGGCATGAAGCCTAAATATATGTTATGAAGGGTTTTTTTCCTCATTAAAACCAAGATCAGTAGTATTACAATTTATAAATATGAATCAAAAGTAAGAACATACAGTTTGGTAGCACAAGTTCTGCAACACGGTATACGAAGATATGGTAGGCTCCAGCAGTTGTAAGTTGACAGTAGGTAAATGCAACCAGAAATAATGCACATATTTCCAACAGTGCAAGTAGTCACCTGTCAAAGTATTTTAGCTGGGGTTCACTGTATTTACTAGCACTTGGTAGGAAATGTTCCTCAGTAACAGATTCCCCCAGCTCAATCCCAGCTATTGGACCTGTAGCAGTAATTCAAAGCAGCCTATGGGTAGCCTGTATCAGAGGGCAGACAAGATGATCACGGCACTAGGAGTCTCCTCCAGGGTAGCTGTGGCAATGAACTTGAAAACTGCTATCTTAAAAGTCAATGCCTGATTCCAGTTTCACTTACACACTGTTTACATAAGTGTAACTTTTGACTTCAGACTTCTGATTGACAGTAGTAGATGCAGAAGGCAAATCAAACTTCTGAGAAAAATGGTTATGATCAAACTGACCTGAGCCAGTCAGGTGAACATGACATAGGACACATTAATGGAGTAAATGGGCATATTTTCACTTGTGTCAATGAACCTTTGGGACAGAAACACAAGGATTTTTATAAAAAAAATCCTTAAAAAGGGAAGACAAAGTAAAACCTGAAACAATACAAAACTTCCTGCATTGTGAAATGGAGATGAAAAACACCTGTAGTTGAAAAGGCAATGAAAAGTGAAGTCTGCATGAAATAGCGGAGACAAAATGGACCAAATTAAGCTCCAAGCAGGTTACATTCAGAACTAACCAGGATACAATAGGTAACTAAGGTGGCAAGACAGATGACTTAAACATCATTCAATATGCAACTCATGCAGCAGTGGCTGTGATTAGAAATGTAGGCCAGTTGCAGACTGAATTTCCTCACTTTGAATGCTAAATCTATGAATTTAGGAGTATAGGATTTGTGAAACTGGGCACAGCTTGTATTTTGTCTGGTGTACCATCTTGAGCAGGAGACTCAACAGATTCTTAAGAGAGGCAGAACTGTACAGTGGGTAAGCACAGGAAGCATCTCAAGCTTGTTAGGAGCTCAAGTAATCTGCAGGTTGGCTTAATCCCACTAATGTTCATATCTTTCCAGAATGCTTGTTGAATGATCATAACTCTGGATAATTTTTTAATACATATAAAATTTTTTAGCCTTCTCTGGAATCTTGGTAACTCCCTGTGGCTACAAATTCAGTTGGTCAAAATACAGAATGTCAGGGAAGAATTTTAATAACCTTTGAATTTGCTGCTTTGTAATGTAATCAAATGTCATCTTTTTCTTGTGTTCCTGTGACCTGCAGGGTCTGGTTCTGCAGAGGAAGCCTCTGGCTTGCCTTCTGGGGAGTGTTCAAGAACCATTTTGATGAATTCCAATTAAGAGTCTTCCTGACACCAGGGGATGCAGAGGTCAAAGAATGCATTTAGCAGCGCAGCAACAGACCACTTGGAGGACAGATAAAGGTAAGAAAATGACATAATTGTAAAACAGAACAGAGAAGTCCAGAAGACATGAAAGGGATTTGAATTTGGAAGGATCTTCAAGTGAATGGTACTATTAAGAATTCTGCCTGAAGCCCAAAAGAACTTGATAAAAATCCTTGTATACTTAGGGTTCTAATAGTGATGATAATGCTCTGCCTCATTATGTAGTGATTAATCTGAGTTGGAAGTTTACCGAAAGTTGTAGATGGTCTGATCAGAAACAAGAGCTTTCTGTAGTAGTGTGAGACTTGTAAAGAAGAACTATTGTGGTTGTTTGAAGATAGAGATCACTGGGTGACTTCTGTGTGCTTGTGATTCCAGTCAAAGCTGTGGGAAGTCTGTTGCTCCTAAAGATCCCAACAGAGGCATTCTAAGAGATACCACCAGTGTCTGATCTTGGGAGAGAAGCAGGAGTCCTCAATATGTTGCTAGAGGTGGCACTAGTCTTTAGCCAAGTCTGGCTATGTACAAGGAAATTCGGGGGACTAACCTCCCAGCCAAGTAGATAATCAGTCATAAGCAGAACTGACATATTCTCACTGATATTTGTACATCTCTGTCTTTAGCAGGGCACAAGTAACCTGTCATACCAATATTGTTGGATTAACTGAGCTAGATACGTGTTGCTTAAAAAACACACATACAGTTCTGTGCATATGGAATCAAATAGTCCATTCTTGACTCCTCTGTATTCTGAGTGGCTGCGCAAGGGAAGAGGTATATCAACAATTTCGCTTTTCCTGTGTTACAGCCCTTGTAGTTTGGAGATGACACAAACCTAAGCACCTTCGCTGATGCATGACTCGCTCAGAAGGAAGGACTCCAAAAAGCCTTGTCTCCTTTCCTCCTAGTCAGCTTTTAATGGAACACAAAAATGATGAAGGCCAGCCCTGTGATATAACCACATAAGCATCTGCTTTCCCCCACCACATCCTTCACCATGGGTCTCAAATATTCTGGTGTCTCTCTCTCTTCTAAGGGTGCAGCTGATCTTTGTGCTCATTCTTAGTTTGTGAAGGCAATCACGTCTTAGAGCAGATAAAAATGTTGATTATTTTTTTCTTGATCAGCCAAACAAAATACATATAAAGAGGTAAAGCACGTGAATAAGCAAACAATAATGGCTCAAAATAGGCAATTCATACTCTAAAAATAGAAAGACACACAAGACAATATTGGAGATATCAATAAAGATGCCCAAAGTTTCCAGAATCAAAGTCTGTTCTGAGTTCCCTTCCGTTTTGTTTCCATTGTCTCTCCCCTGCTTTTGGCAGGAATGTCTCATGTGGCCCCTTCACTCAGAGTGGGATTTTCTGGGAAGTCAGAGAAGTTGTCTCCAAGGAGAAGAAATGTTTGACATCACCAGGATGTTTCCCAGGAGTGGTATTTTGTGGCCTTCACCAAAAAATATATTTTGCTGTTTACAATTTACTTTGTGGTAGCTCTTTGAGACCTCTGGTGTGTGCCAGGAGCCCACTGCATCACCTGCTGTGCAAACACAAAGCAGTAAGAGAATTCCTGCTACAGACAGTAATAACCTTCATCTAGTGAGAGTGATCACCTGGTACAGAGAGAAGGGAAAGTGCAGTGGAATAGTTGGAGCACAGGGTATAATTTAAGCTCCTGCTGCTTTATAGTAAAACTTAAAAAGAAGTTGGGTGGTCAGTATGTATCCTAGCTGGTAGAAGAGCAGGGGGAGATTTTTTCCTCATGGACTTCCAAAGGAAAGGCAAGTTAAAATAAATTCATTAATTAAAGCTGAGGTGTGATTAGACACATCTGAAGCAGCTGTTGTTACAAACATTTTCAGAAAAGCTCGATGTGTAATAGAGAGATGAGAGTCCCAAACACTTCTCGAAGTCTCCTAGTAAAAATACTGAGCTGTACGTACGGACATGCTTAGTTCACATTGGGTGCCATTTGAGGAGCTGGTCACAACTGTAGAAGCCGAGCCTTTGATATATTCTGACAAATGTGAACCCGAATAATGAAAGATTATTCAGTTCAGAATACTGGCCAGGTTCTTATGGCCAATGGGCAGTGAATCCTCAAAGTAGAGCACCGGGGTAGCAATAAATCATGGAAGGAAATCTCACTCCACTCCTGAGTGCTTCTGCAACAAGCACAGAGGTTCATGAACTGGGGAAGTGCTGGTCATTTGGGAAAGCTGTGGCGTTTGGTTAGATCCCTGAATATGGGTTACATTTCACATAGCTGCTTTTGGGAATCTTGGCCAAGTATCTCCCTGCAGTAATCACTTTATGGCCCTTCTTTGGGTTATCAGTGTGCTTCTGTGACCACTTTCTTTCCACTATGTAATGTCCTAGTTTCTCTTCTATTTTATGACAGCGTTTTCCAGCTCTTTTGCTTATACATTCTGTATGTTGTGTGTATGTATTCCCCTGCTAGAAAAGGATGCAGCAAGTAGAAAACCTGTGTTGAAGATTCATTTTCTTCTGTTTCATTTACTTTCTCAAGAATCTGGGAAACCTTTCGAAGCACGTCAGTGAGGTGGGTCTGAGCAGCCACCTCTTGTTTCTTCCCAGAATGTGATTGCTTTCCAGCATGCTTCTGCTAATTGGGCTAATTGGTCATGTTCTCCTTTGCTTGTATTCATACCTGCATAAGAAGAAGGAGGATCCAGTGTGCTGGCATGGCTGGCGAGATTTGTGTGTGACCTTTCTGCCAATGGTCAGGTGAGCAGCATTGAATGACTCACATTGTCTAATGCTCTCTGCTTTGTCTAATGATAAGTAGGTTGGTCAGGACAGGAATGATGTCTTACTTACAGTATATAACACACAAAAGTCATTGTCTCAGTATCTCTAGGTGATGTAACATGGTTCATAACCACAGTACATAGGGATGGTAACGTTTCTTTCCATGACTGTAGCTTGTGGCTATGCATTTTTTTGTACTCATTCAGTATCCCTGAAGCTGCCTGCTGTAAGCTATCTTTCAGCAGTCTTTTCAAGACCCCAAACAATGATATGCAGATTGTATTTTGACCTTATACATGTATATGGGTGCAAACCAGCATCACCTGGTCAGTGTTTTACCAGATGCATCTCTCACATGAAAATCAGTACTTTGCATGCTCAGTTTGGCAAATCTCAAACACTCAGTGAGTAAAAATTGCTTTCCTCCACCTGCACAACAACGATTTGTGCTTAAATGACATAAGGAGCTTTTTTGCTCATTGTTTTTAAGGTCTTTTTCTTGTCTTTTTTTGAGCCTGTAACTGAAACTGGATGGTAGAACCAAATGAACTCACAACTGTTTAAGGACGGCTGAGATTTTAATCGTACATCATATAACCTGATACTGCAGCGAAAGCATAAAATTTTGATGAGAACCTGTGAGGGAACTGTGAGAATGTTATGTACCATATTCTGGTTTTGAGACAACTGGCTGGCAACTGCACTGCCAAGACAGTTACATTGGTACTTGCAAACAGTGTGATGTGATGGCAGAACTGTTCTGAGCAAAACAAAGTGGAAAGAGAAAATACAGGTACCTGTAGTGAGGTTTGTGATGGGGTACTTAAGAGCCAACAGAAATTCATCAACAAGCAGTAGTTCCATGGAAGGACAAATTTCCTGAATGGTTCAGTGGCAACCTAATGCAAATATGCAAATGATTACACTTTGAGAAAATAGGTTAAATTATCTTTCTGAATGCAACAGAGACAATTAATAAAAATCTGGCACCCTTCTTTGGCACAGACGGCAGAGTCCAGAATTTTCCAGAGAAAACTGAACAAGTTGAGATGAAGATTTCTCCTGAAGTCTGATCTCTCCGGGGATCATTGCCACAGGTATCATCAGCTCCTAAGAGCCCCAGCTCCTCTCAAGCACCATGGTGTGAGCTGTTGCTCTTTGCTGCCATTTTTCATCCTTTTTTATGCCTTTATAAAGAATGCTTCCCTTGACATGCAAGGCCTTGTTCAATCAGTCTGTGATCCCCTCCTTGCCTAGCAGAGAGGTAGAAGTACCCTCTCTGCTTCTCCTCAGTGGGTAACTAGATAGGCAGGGTGCACCCAGCAGCTTTAGAAAGGGGTTTGGAATAGGTCTACTCTCTCCTCTGTGACACTGTGGCTCAGTCCCCAGAGCCCCAGGGATGTAGCATGTCACATTTACCTCTCTGGCAACATCCTTTTAACGACCAGAAAATCTGTATAGTTTAAGAAATCAAAGCCTTTACTTAAGATGTGAAAAAAAAACACCAAAACGTGTCCACAACAAAAGGTGATGCCAGTTCCTTGCTTCTCACCAGAGCTGTGAGGCAAGAACCGAGCTGCAGGTCGTGTTGGAAGTGAGGAGGGTAACCTCCCCCTTCCTCCTTTCCCATCCCAGCCCCAACCCAGCCCCCAGTAAGACTTCATCTCTCCGTGGAGTCCCTCTGAGCACAATGCTGAGCCAGAGGAGTGACAGGTGCCTCCTGATATGCCTAAATGAGAAGAACCAATCGGAGGAGCCTGCCCAGCTTTTGTTGTCATCTGGCTTTGCTCACGAAAGATGAGTTTGATTGACAGATGCATCAAGGTTCACAGTTTATTGGTTTTTGCAAAAGAGCCAGATCTGCCAATTTAGACAGGGGAGTGACACAAAACTTTCCATCTAAATGGACTAATTTTACCACAGGGAATTCCCAGGCAGAGCGCTCCAAGGCAGGCGCAGTCCTGTTTTATTTTTTAACAAGGACTGAATGACAAATATAAACGACAGTTCTAGGCTGACGGAACATCAGCATTTGACACTTCACAGGGGAGCAGTGAAATAAACAATAGGCAGAGAAATTGAATTAGAATCAGATGAGAGTCAGCTAGAGAGGCAGAGGAGGGCCTGATTCTCTACCAAATCATTTATAAAAAAGCAAAGTGAATACTAAGTAGGGATAACGTGCTCACACCCTCGTTTATTAGCGAATTTCACCTATTAGCGTATTACACTTGCATGGTGTAAATGGATTGCTGGACA